GTTTTTCTTCATTACCCATTCAAGCCGTCTCCAACCATTATTAATCTCAAAGTGGGTTCCTCGTCATCGAATTTAAAGTACTTTTTGATTTCATAACGTTGATTAGCAAAGTTCAGGGAAAATGGTATTAAAATAAAAATAATGTTTTAAAAACTTAAACTAAATTTTTACCTTTCAAGGATAACAATGAGGTATTTAGGCTGCCTTAGCTCGTCTAGTTTATTCCAGATCCTACTACCACCCGACTCTTATAAGTCTAAACAACAAAGTACATATCATTGTTATTGAAATAGGCCTAATACTAATACCACAAATGAGAAGCAATGCGCAAACACGCGTTATTCAAACGCCCTCGCATCTCGTCAAAATCAGTCACTGTAGTACATTCTTCAACATTTTTATTCGTCTGTATAATATTATGAAACTTTAGAAAACAGAAGTACTTTATACATTTCACTTCCTTCAAAAAATGACCAAACTTAACTAGGTATTAAGATTTTTTACTTTACCTATAACCTTTAGATACATTAGAAACTTAATACTTACCGCCAAACAACAAAGATAAAAGTAACTCTAAGTTCTAACCGACGCCATCTACACGCAACAACAACAAATAAATAAAAATAAAAACACTACCATGAAAAATATTGCAAAGTGATATATCTAACAAATTTAAAGGTCTCAACAATAATTGTTCAAGAATTATACTCCTAATAAGATATTGGTATTAGGCCTATTATATTCTTAAAAACTACGTTCTTGATCTAGTTCCTTAGGAATTTTCAAAAAATAGAAGAGTGTATAACAGTAATACGCCATCCATTGTCAATACCGCGTTTCGCTGAATCTAGTGGTCGGAACATTACTAATATAAAAATTTGTTACAACAGCAGCTATTATGGTTTCAACGTCTTTTTTTAAGCTAACGAAGCATGATTATAATTAATTTACATTTCATTAGACATTAGCATTAAGCCTACTATATTTCGGAATACTGCATTCGATTTTCAAGAATTAAAAGAGTGCATAATAACAGCATACCAACCAACTTATGTTTGCCGTATTAGTTGCCGATGACATGTTTCGCTAAATTCAGAGTTCATCAGGCCAGATGGGACTCAACAAACACAGTATATTAAAATTCAAAAAACAGCTCAAATGTGGCAGAAAAAATATATTATTTAAAAAACAATGTTCCGCCACTGATGATGTTGCATCATCAAGTACTCAGTACAATTATGTTGATTACCTGATGATGCCATGCTAACAGTGGAGAAACGTTGTTTTTCAATGATATATTTTTTTCTACCACGTTTTAGCTATTTTTTAAATCTTAAAATTTTGTTGAGTGTGGGTTTCTTTTTTTAATTTCGTTACACGTCCCTAATTTAGCAGTGAAAGTAAGACTGGAGGAAAGGCATCACCACCCACTCTTAGTCTATTCTTTTACCAACGAATAGTGAGATTGACCGTCACGTTATAACATCCCCACGGTTGAAAGGGCGAGCATGTTTGGTGTGACGGGAATTCGAACCTGCGAACCTCAGATTGCTAGTCGAGCGTCTTATCCACCTGGCCATGTAAGAAGTAGTTGAATGTTACTTATGTAAGCCATTTGTAACAACAACAACTGTTGTGGATTGAACGCCATTTTCAAGCTGGCGAATCATGATTATAATATAATAGACATAATGCTACTATCGAATAAATTAATTAAATTTAGGCCAGCTTGAAAATAGGCGTTCACATAATAAACATAAGTGTAGTTTGAAACACAAAAATTCTTTATTAAACATAAACACGGCGTTTGTTTCCTAAACTTGCAGAGCTTCATCAACAAGAAGAAAGTGTAGAGCAAGAGAGTTTAAAATCAAGAGACAGGACTATGGAAATACCTGACTTAAATACTCTCACGAAACAGTGAAAGACATATATATATTCCACAAGTCCACAGGTTACATTATCCAACCAATGTTAACGTACTCCGCGCAATCTTAAGCCAAACAGTTGTACAAGTTTCTGTAGTTCCTGTTAAAAATAGGTTATTTTCCAAGACACCGTACAGATACACATGCACCTAGTTTCAGACTTAAGTACAAAGGTTGTAGTACGTAAACTTTTCCTGTGTAAAAGTAATAGCACATCGTTACAACCTTGAGACATCCAGTCAACTAGAATGTCATAACTACGTGAATAAACTGCATGAAAAATATTACGCGAGTATAGCCGGTGGGTTATCGTTACATACAGTTCAGTATACATTTTATCACTGGTGTAGGGTTTATTTACACTTCTTAGGTTTAGATTTGTTATTCTTGTCCTTTAGCTGTGAATCCTATGTACTCTTGTTTACAACTCATGATCTTTACAGACACACGACCACAGATTTATGTAGAACATTGATCTCTGCATTGGGATCGAAAAACATAGTTGAGTTTGATTTGTGATTGCAGTGGCGTAGCGAGGGTGTCTGACGCCCAGAGGCAAAACATAACTTGGCGCCCCCCCCCAAAAAAAAGATCCTAACTTAGGTGTTCACAAAATTGATAAATTTCCTATCAACTATGAGATATCAATGTATTTTAATTAACCTAGTATTGAAAACCAAGGGATTTCCCGAGGCATGATATTTCTGATGATACACTAATTTCTGATGTCAAGCATAACAAAAACATTTT